AGGAGTGTATAATCTAATACAAACAGTCGTATAGGAGAAGTCATATCACGGTGCGCTCAGTGCATATGTAGTGCATATGTGTGGTCGAGTTCTGTCAGTTAGGGTGTGTTCAACAAAACTAATGGCATCACCATAACCGTCAACGCATTACGTCATTTGTTTTTGCAGATTCCAGGTAATAAATGTATTACACACCAAAACAGAATATAGGTGCACCTCCTACTCCAAACTGCCAGTTGAAAACTGGAATTCGCCTTCGACTTAGGTTATATCGATCAACTTATTTGAAGTCCTTCGAAGGAAAATTTGAAACATTTTTAAGGAATCATGACAGCATACAACCATATCGTCGATGCTACCTTAACGTGGTCTCGGGCTTCCTATCGTGATGATCCAACTGATTCATACTGGCTGGAACATATGTTCCTGAAGGTTCTACTCTGCTGGGCAGGTCGATCGGAGAACAGTGAGACTAAAAGCAGCTTCTCAAGGTCTCAGGACGAAGTCGTACTGCTGACTGCAGAGGGGTGTTACAGCAGTAAGGTGTTTCCCTTGGACAACCAGTGTAGAATCCATTTTGAAGGCTTCGATTCGGGAAGATCCCTCCATGTTTTTATTTGTGTTATGATCTTGCTGACTCTTACTGTTCAGTATTTTGGTACTCTGTCTAGTCCCAATTTGGGATGCTAATATCTGTATCTTGTTATAACTCCTATTTTTTGCACTTTTATTGGAGCTTATATGCTTCCTTCTAAACTGTAAATGTGTTGATTAAATCGATACTTAATATGGCTACAGCCATATCGGATTTGATACCTCTGTTGTAACTTCGTATACTTGACTGGAAGGACGCATTCTTCCAGAATTGGAAACTCATTAAGTTAATTTCGGATTGGAACAGTATAATATTGTTTAGGTAATTGTCTATATCCCCTTTTTGATTAATAATAGAACCGTTCTTACCCAGAAAACTTGTGTTTTGAAATTGGACTGGGCAAGGCGCGTAACTGACTTCTAACTGTTTCCGAAATCAAGGTTCACTGAAGTGAAAATACTACAGTTCTAAACAGTATTTGGAGAAGAAGCCCTTGGATATCTAATAGTTAACAATAATTCAAGAAACGGAAACGGTGAATTCCAATTTCTGATCAATATTGCATCAATAAATTGGCGTTTCTTTTTCTCTGAAATTCAGGTGCTATAAAGAATTCTCGTAAGAAGAAGAAGAAACCAAGCTCGAATATGGGAAGAAGCTATGAAGAACAACTGAATGACGGTTCTTATGTTAAAAAGCAAGTGTTTTCTGATTTTTTTCGCTTTAAGGGTTCACTCTCAGATAAGGATGATGTCATGTTCAGTTTTTGCTCCAGCAACCTATAAAATTGAAGGTATTTGTAGTTATAATAAGTATTGTTGTTAGAACGACATTTTGGTCGACTATTTGTGAATTGCGAATAAAATTTGGTACCTAACTTTGGAGTTTGGTTCTGTTGTTAATTTAGGTTCATGAATTGCAAATAGATCGACATACTGTACTTCAATAACGGGAAGGAGCAAAACTTGGACGTAACAACCAAGTTGTTTGTTAATGTCCCCAATATTTAGCGCTTACAGTTCCAGATAAATGGACTAACGCCAGGAGAAGAGGGATGAGTTTCATCTGTCTGAAGCAAGGACATAAGTCTAGCGACTGTAAGAGGGCAAGGCGTTGTAGCGTTGATAAATGTGAGAAAAAGCATCATGTTTTGCTGTATGAGGATTCGACCACCAAAAAATTGATGACAAACTACTCCTGTAGAACCTTCGGGTCTACTGCCGGTCCCAAACCCGGATAAAGGAGGAGGGTTGGATATGGGTTGGCGACTCCATTCAACAAAAATACTAACTTGCCAAAAAATACGCTAACCAGAAAAACTAATTCAAACAATTTTAACTCTGCCCTGGGAGTTGGGAGAACAAATATGAAGTCGCGCGATGAAAGCCGAATTCCCTCGGAAATCAAAAGGCCGATGCCTACTCTGACAACCAGAGCAACCATACTTTTAGGTACATGGAACGCTCGTACATTGTGGGAGACTGGAAGACTATTTCAAGTTGCTGCAGAAATGGAAAGATACAATCTCGAGATGCTCGGCATCAGTGAAAAGCATTGGACACAGGTAGGACAACTAAGACTAGCTTCTGGGGAACTGCTGTTATACTCTGGTCATGAAGAGGAAAATGCTTCACATACACAAGGAGTTGCACTGATGCTGTCCAAACATGCACAAAAGGCACTAATAGGATGGGAATCTCATGGACCCAGGATCATTAAAGCATCCTTCAAAACAAAGAAACAGGACATTACAATGAACGTCATCCAATGTTATGCACCTACCAATGACTACAATGACGACGACAAAGATCAATTCTACGAAAGGCTGCAGTCAATCGTCGATAAATGTTCACCAAAGGATTTGACTATTCTAATGGGAGACCTGAATGCCAAGGTTGGAATGGACAACACTGGATATGAAGACATCATGGGACGACATGGACTGGGAGAAAGGGACGAAAACGGAGAGAGATTTGCAAACCTATGTGCCTTCAACAAACTGGTCATCGGTGGCACAATATTCCCGCACAAACACATACACAAAGCTACATGGATTTCACCGGATCACACTACTCAAAACCAGATTGATCTTATCTGTATCAACAAAACGTTCAGAAGGACTATGGAGGATGTGAGAACCAGGAGAGGAGCTGATGTAGCCTCAGATCACCATTTGCTAATCGCCAAAATGAAACTGAAACTAAAGAAGCACTGGACAACGGGACAGACAACATCACAGAAGTTTAATACGGCCTTTCTTCGGGATACTGTAAAGCTCAAAGAATTCAGGATAGCCCTCACCAATAGGTTCCAGGCCTTTCAGAATATACTCAATGGAGAGGACACAACATTGAAAAACAATTGGAAAGGGATTAAGGAGGCAATCACTTCAACATGTCAGGATGTCCTTGGTCGCAAGAAGCAGCATCACAAGGAATGGATCTCTGTTGGTACCCTTGAAAAAATTGAAGAAAGGAGAAACAAAAAGGCAGTAATCAACGTCAGCCGAACGAGAGCAGAGTAAGTCAAGGCACAAGCTGAATACACAGAAGCAAACAGGAAAGTGAAGAAGAGCATCAGAGCTGACAAACGAAAATATGTGGAAGATCTAGCAATGATGGTAGAAAAGGCTGCAAGAGACGGAAACTTGAGACAATTAAACAATACGAGGAAGAAGCTCGCTGGAAATTATTGTGAACCACAACGACCAGTGAAAAGCAAGGAAAGCAGAGCTATCACTAATACTGAAGAACAGCGAAATCGGTGGGTAGAGCGCTTTAAGGAGCTCTTGAATCATCCAGCTCCGCAGAACCTACACAACATCAAAGCAGTATCCGCCGACCTCCTAATAGATTTTAGAGATCAGCATAGCCATCAGAAAAATCAAGAGAGGCAGGATCAGACAACATTCCAGCAGAGGCAATGAAAGTAGTTGTGGGAGAAACTGCAAAAATACTCCACATTCTCTTCAACAAGATTTGGGATGAGGAACAAATTGATGAGGAACAGATTGGAAAGAAGGATACCTGATCAAAATACCAAAGAAAGGCGACCTGAGCAAGTGTGAGAACTGCAGAGGCATCACTCTTCTTTCAATACCAGGCAAAGTCTTCAACAGAGTATTGTTAAACAGAATGAAGGACTTCGTAGACGCCCAACTTCGAAATCAAGAGGCCGGATTTCGTAAGGATCGATCGTGTACTGACCGAATCGCTACATTACGGATCATTGTGGGACAATCAATTGAATGGAACTCACCACTCTACATCAACTTCATTGACTAGGAGAAAGCACTCGACAGTGTGGACAGGAAAACACTGTGGAGGCTTCTTCAACACTACGGTGTGCCTGAGATAATAGTCAATATAATACGGAATACTTATAATGGATTCAACTGTGTAATCGTGCAAACACTAACTTTATGCATAAGGAAAAACATCTGTTGACCTGGCGACCCCCGAAGTCGTCTCAACGTTGGACCCAACTAGATCACATCGCCATCAGCCACCGATGGAAGGGTTGGATGGAGGACTGTCGCTCATTCTGGGGCACATGTTTAAATTCAGGTCAAGCCCTTGTGCGAGCGCACATTTGTTTGAGGCTTACTGGACGTAGGAAAGACACCGTAAGAAGCCTCTTAGGGTTTGACTTAATGATAATAAAGCTAAGGGTGCTAGTTAAGGATGGCAGGTCAATAGATGAAGTATTGAGACTTCATCAGTTGAGGTGGTTGGGACATGTGGTGCGTATGCCTAACCACCGACTGCCTCGTTGAGCTATGTTTTGCTATACAGGAATAGCTTGGACGAAAGCTAGGGGCGGCTAGACCAAAACGTCAGAAATCCATTAAGACACTGAAAAGTGGACTGAGTCATGTCGGTAAGTGTCGATTACCTGGTTGGGGTCCGCGAGATGATAATAATCGATGGTTAGATATCCTGAATGACATGGCTCAAAATCGTTTGCAATGGCGCAGGTGCATCCACTCCTTGTGCTCTCTCAAATCCTAATCTTCTGAATTTCTCATCACCTTTATCTTTCTCTTTCTAAATTTACCTCACTGAATTATAATTCTTGAATAACATCTTCGAACCCTAATCTCTCCGATTACTTCTGATACTTTTACTGCCTCTACTACTATGGGATTTGTATTGACAATTGCGTCTCTGTGCTAATGTGGTATGGCAACATGAACTGATTTACTAACTTACGAAGTTCAACGTTGTAACTGATTGATTGACTGACTGACAGCATACAAACTCATCGATGTTTGCATAATCTACTTAGTTGAGTACTGTCAAGTATGAGGTATCCATTGCTTAAAAACACACAAGATCGATGAATGAAAGCTTCTCCATTTCGTCCGAAAACTTATCAACTTATTCAAATCCAGGTATTGTATTCTGTAACACCGCCTGCTTTAACCTCGTAGCGCCACTCCAATGTGATTTGTCCTAGTTGTTCTGTCAAGTTATTTGTCAGTTCGGTCCTCAACATATGGATGATTCAGGAGAAGTAACTTATTTTAAGTCGCTTAATTCTATACTTCAGGATCCTGACCTTTTAAACGAGGAGACATTCGACTGTGCAGAGATAGGTTTGTCCCACTCTTATTACGATAATTTTCAGGTGACTGGGAAAATGAACATGATCAATTTGTGCAGAATCTTCAGGAGAATCTCGAGATTTCACCGTCCGCAGATGAACTTCCAAAGTTCTGGAAAGACCCCAGCAGTCTTTCGTTTCTATGGCAAGCAGATGATATTGGTTGTGGTGTGATTGTGGATGATGGGAGCGAAAGAGTAAGTAGACAGATAATGTTTTTAAACGTTTAAAGGTTGTGGATGTTGAGGAAACGCTTCAAAAGCTGGTTTTGGATGAAACATTCGAGGATCCTGCTATTTTAGACGTATCTAGAAAGACTTCTTATCAACAACTCAACGAAAACTCGTTTCAGCATCTTAGAGATACACCTGCATATCCAACTGTTCCTACTAACATATTTGACGGAACTCGTGACATTTGGAGTATAGACGGTAATTATGAGGCCAGGAATGAAAGTAGTAAGACCAGCATAGCGTCTGATTGTAATGTGAAATCGAAAAACGTAATCGATATACTCCGATCACTGAATGTTTACCCTCCGTCATCTGCCAACAGTGTATCTACGCCACTTAGAGCTTCCGCACAGGACTATTTGTCATGTAAGCTAAATACAGGATCGCAAAGCAAGGAAGATGGTACCGAATTGTACTCCAAAACTCAATCTTCAGACCTTCGAAATATTATGCAAGTTAATCAGCACAAAGTATATCCTGGCCCTTTATCCTCTTCTGAAAATCGTGTTTGTCAGTCAAAAACGATTCCGGATTCTCTCTCTGTTCATGTGAGTGTTCATACTACATTTGTAGTCGCAAATTTGATCCTACTAACTTTCTAGGAATCATCATTTCAACGAGTTTTCTTCCACTTTACTATTTTCAACCCCATAATTTTTACAGCTTCGGCATTTACTTTAGATACTAAAATTCCGTTATTTAGCTCACTTAAATTTGACTAGGATTTTTTATAAATTCCCAATAGCTCAAAACAGTTTATTAAAGCAACAGTTATAGTAATGGTTTTCATTTTGACTTGTTTCCATTCCTTTAAACGAGAGCACTTGTAGTACTAACATTGTTTTGTTTCAAAATCGAAACAACAACAATAGACAAATGTCACCAAACAGTTAATGCAACCTCAGCCGTTCTATTGGTGCTTATCATCAACTATTTCCAGCATATCTCAACGCTAGTTAACTTAGCATTCCAATTTTCACTTCTATGAAATTAAGTCAGGTGGCCTCATCGGTAGTCTCAGTAGCACACATCATCCAATGTACATTCTGCTATGTGTTCCCGTTCCGACTAGTATGGACGTGACTGGAATCGAAATTCATGAGGTACTAATTCATGCTTCTATATGGAGTGTCATATTTGATTCAAGTTGTAGTGTCCAGAGGGGTCTTTAACATCAGGTCAGTGTACCATCTGATTGGTACTTATGGATACTGATACAGAAGACTCGCTTTATGAAGCATAGTCATCACCATCAACAGCAACGTAGAAATTTGCACGTAAGTACATCAGTTCATGTTGCCATACCACATTAGCACAGAGACGCAATTGTCAATACAAATCCCATAGTAGTAGAGGCAGTAAAAGTATCAGAAGTAATCGGAGAGATTAGGGTTCGAAGATGTTATTCAAGAATTATAATTCAGTGAGGTAAATTTAGAAAGAGAAAGATAAAGGTGATGAGAAATCCCACGATACTCGAGCAATGCTTCGGAGACACCTATGATCGATAACCAGTAACCTGAGAATATCCTCTACTTTCACCGGCCATGTTTTGCATCCGTATAGTAGGACAGAGCGAACTACTGCGCAGTACACTCGTCCTTTAGTCAGAAAACGGATATCTTGCCTTCGCCATAAGTGACGCAGGTTGGCAAAAGCCGATCGTGCCTTCTGTATCCGTGCCGAGAGTTCGTCAGTCACCAGGCCGTCGGCACTGATGAGACTCCCGAGATAAGTGAAGCGGTCAGCACGCCCAACTGTTTCACTCCCTATCACTAGTTCAGGTGCCGATGCAACCCAGTCTTGAAGCAACATTTTGCATTTCGAGGGTGGTAACCGCATCCCGAACATGCTTGCACTGTTGCTTAGGGTAGTCAGAAGACTGCATTTTGTCAGCGTCATCACCGAATAGAACTATGTCATCGGCATATTCTTAGTCAATAAGCGATTTTCCTGATAGAAAGTCGACTCCTGAAAAGTAGGACGAGGATAAGGTTATTTCTAGGAGCATGTCTATGAAAAAATTAAACAAGAATGGTGAAAGTGGACATCCTTGACGGACACCACTTGAAGTAAAGAATTCCGATGACAGTTCGCCATATGCTCTCACTCGACCAGTGGTGTTCGAGTAGAGAGCTTGTATAAGGTTAATGTACTTCTTTGGTACACCTTTCAAATGTGTGTCTGTGTTCCAAGACCTGCTGTAGTGTGAAGATGTGGTCTTTACAGCCACGTCCGGGTCTGAAAGCAGTCTGATTTTCTCCAGATTGCTCTTCACGAGCTCTAGTTAGGCGTCTAAGGATTATCGAGGCCAAAAATGTAGAAAATATATTAGTTAGACTTATTCCTCTGTGATTCTCACAAGAGGACTTTTGTCCTTTCTTGTAGACCGGGATAGTCAGTGATTGAGACCAGTGAGACGGTATTACCCTTAGTTCCCAAAATGTATTTAAGATCTCAGTCAATCTTGCTGCTAAAACTGGACCATTATCCTTACAAGTCTCAGAGGTCGATTTGTCAGGACCCGCAGCTTTCCTCGCTTTGGGTTTATTATAGCTTTCTCACTTTTGTAGAGATTCGCAGGACTTATCTCGGTTTCCCATTCAGTTTGAATGGAGATCGTGGGCAGCGGAAGTGTGGCTGAAGGCGAATCGAACTGATCCGTTAACTGTTCTGTCCATCGATTCAATCTCCTGGATTGAGAATGAGTGATAAGACCATCTTTTTCCGAGATAGTTTCACTCACATTAGGGTTCCTAATACCAGTTTCCTTGATGAGTCTGAATAGTTAGTTGTCTACTGTTACCTATCGCCGTTGCCTTTTCCATCTCCCCTATTTTCGCCACGCATCACGTTTCGCGGTCGTCGCTTCAGCTTTTTATCAGCCTGCGACTGAGCTGACTCCTCCCCTCATCTTACTCAGAGCCTGGCGGGATGAGGTTTCGAGCATCGATCAGTTCGGTAGATGCCACAGAAATCCACGGGTTCTCCCTGGCAGATATCGCTGCTAGTTACAGAGCATTTTCGATATAATTCCATGTTGCCTCTGGGTCGGCATCACTTACTACATGGTTGCCTAACTTTTCCCAGTTGGTCCTCAAATATATTCTTAGCTTTATTATCATAAAGTAGAGCCCTGTGAGGTTTCCTTGCGATATTTTTCTTGCTTCCAGTAAGACGCAACCGAACACGTGCTCGCACTAGAGCATGGTCTGAGTCTAAACAAGCGCTCCAGAATGAGCGGCAGCCTTCAAAGGAGCCTCTCCACCGATGGTTTATAGCGATATGATCTAGTTGGGTCCGTCGTTGGATCGGCTTTGGGGTTCGCCAGGTCAAAAGGTGTTTTACCGTATGCTTAAAGTTGGTGTTTGCTAGGAATAGGCGATTATCTGAGCACAGCTGCTGCAGACGGTCGTCATTATCTGTTTTCCGAGCCGTGACACCATAAGATCCACGCAGGTGTCTTTCCTTTTCACTGAGTCTACCTGCTTGAGCATTGAAGTCACCAGCCATTATTTCTATATCAGAGCGCTTAACATTTTGGAGAAGTTGAGAGAGGGTTCTATAAAACTTATCTTTCATATCGTCTGAACTGCAGTCAGTGAGAGCGTAGGCAGATACGACGAAGAGGCAACGGCGAGTGTCCCTATCTTTCGGAGTCCATACCATCCTGTTAAGTCGGACAGCGCATAAGGGACTGTCTGTCGGGATCCATTCTAAGAGGGCTGGTTCTGCCTTATGACTTAATACTATACCTACGCCGTCGAGGCCACGAGAAGCGGTATCAGCGCTTCCAGAAACACGAAGCGTAAACCTTGTTCTGTCTCTGTCTGGACTAGGTGAGATCATACTGATGACTTTACTCGGATCTTTTGTGCGCGTTTTGGAGGCGCAACATACAGCGATCGCCCGTGATTCCAGAGTTCTAGCTAATGAAGCCCGTTTCCCTATTTGGCATAGGGTCCGAACAATAAAAGCTCCTATACGTAATTTAGTACGGGGGTTCAAGAGACCGGGAATAATGCTTCAAGAGCTCATACCGTTTGTTTCAATGGCTTGAGCTGATAAACGATCGAAAGAAGGGTTGGTCGAGGAGATAAGAGAGGTATTAGGGGGTGTAGGAAGGATTTGATTTCTACCAATTTGGTCTCATGTGTTTTTATGGGTATGAGAGCTGATGTTACTAACCGGCTGCCCACACCGTGGAAGGTTGTTTCTTGAGGAACCTGAAAAGGAAGGTATATTAGCGTTGGTCTTAAAGACCTGGTTGCGTGACCCCAGAGCCCAAGGGACAATTGTTTGAGGCCGGTCACGCATGGCCTGTTTATGAAAGGATTTTTGAGTATTAGCTCCGCTCTTAAAGACCCTTAGTGGGAACCCTTACCGCCGGACACGGAAATCCGTGAGGTAGAGTGAGGTGTGACATTTTTAGGGTCGACCTTTTCTAACCCTTCCTTCCTTGTGAGAAGGCAGCATCGGTGCAGATGCTGGTTGTCCGGGGGAAACACCTTACTGCTTTCACACCCCTCTGCAGTCAGCAGTACGACTTCGTCCTGAGACCTTGAGTAGCTGCTTTTAGTCTCATCGTTCCGCAATAGACGTGTCCGGTATGGTAGAACCTTCACGAACAAAGTTTCAGCCAACATAGCTCGGTTACGGCATGACGATAGGCAAGCCCGTCCACCACGTTAAGGTACCAGCTACGGTCGTGATAAAGCATAGTACAGTAATAGATTCTGGACACTTTTTTACTTGTATTACAATCTAATAGAATCTTCGTATCCATATGTATGTATAAGATTTTTCTCAGCGTATTTCAAACTAAAAGTGTTTCAATAAAATTATCCACTTTACAGAACAAGCCTGTACGAAGAATTAGGTTTGTCGTTTGGTTTTTTTAGGCTGTCTATATTGACGTAATATGTGTCTCTTAAGATATGAACAAAATGGCGACTGAAACTCATCTCTACCTGTCTCCGAGATGCAATAAAAACTTACCCTTGCAGGTGATGCGATAAAGTTTGAGTCTCATATCATACGTCAAAACTCGAGGGAAAATCAACTTCGTCCCACGGACTACCTGAGGCACATGTTATAAGTGGTTGTTTATTCAGAATATTTATTGATTACTCATGTAAGAATGAAAAAATACTCCAAGGTAGAGACTAAAGAATATCAGTCAAATATTAACACTTTTTAACCCCCAATCCAGTCGCTCGCGTAAACGTTTTTTTGAGAGATCGTGCTATTTACAAGGTAGGGTAATCAATCCAAGCTGCAGCTTGAAACATTACTGCTAGATTATGTGCATAATCTCAGTGATCTTGGCCAGATGGGAAGTGACAAAGCCAACTTACTTTCCTTTCTTCATTTACTTTTTGAGAGGATTTCAGTTAAGCCAGTAAATTGTATCCTTTGATTGGTTCTTCGAAAAGTCTATGTAGTTTTCTAAATAGGGCTATTGCGACTTAGTTTATTCACTCATTAGTTATTAGCAGATGTTTTATCGATAGCCACATAACGGTGGGCATGTATCAGCCAATTCAGATTTTGGTAATTGTACTTATTACATACCGCTGACTATTAGAGTCATTTACTACCTCGTCCTTTTAAATTCAATGAAGTATATGAAAGGAAGCATATCTCTCCTTTAAATTTGTTTCGAGTACACAGAAAACTAGTCAATGTTATAGAAATGCCTGAACGTTAAACAGCTACATATGAACCCAACAACTTTATTGTATAACTCATTCTGTCTTTTTGGGCTTTTTAGTAATGTTTTCAAAAGTAAATGGGATGTAGAACTCTTTCTGCTCCATTATCATATTTCGGATCTGTGACCAGCTGTTGAAACGGTTTTCCAACGAGTTCATCCACTAAGTGTTGGGATATCATTTGTTTAGTTAGCTGGCTTCAGTTAATTTTGCTCGTTGAATCGGAACCGGCAGGACACTATTCCAATCTCCATTTCGATTAAAGACTGACGGTTGCATAACATTCAAAGGATTGGCTGTAACCCTGTAGTTGAATTGTTAACTATCCCCTGTTACTGTTGCTAGAATAACTAGATTATGTTCCTTTCTTATTTAAGAAAATAAATAAGCTCTCCATCTACTCCATTCTGTTACTGTGCTTTGAAGGCGTTTTGAACTAAAAAATTGTGGGCTCTTAGTGTAGCAACTGTTTACGGCAGCAAACAATGAACAAGTCCACTTTCAGATCAGTGTTCCTTCAACAGTTTAACCAGGTGATATTCGGTCCTACAGACTATCACTATGTACATGTAATCATTACAATTACATACAGTATTTGGTGAACTGGTTTGCTATCTCATTATTGCATTGGAATACAAGACTTTGGTTTTTATTAAACTTTGCACCTGACCATAGTCTGTTTAGTTGACAAACGATTTTTCTATATTGTATATTCATGCTCATAGCTAAAGCTCAAAGATATCTAGTCAGATAGTTATTCTCTTCACTGTTGGTATTTTAAAAAATTCACTCTTCTTATGTTATGGCAGAATGGGATGCATAACAATCATTTACGTGTCAACCCTGTTTCACTGGATATTTTGAAGGGACAGTTGCCCACTAGTGTCAATGCTTTCCACACGTTACCGGAAGTGCAGTCTGTGTTTAGAAATTTACACCCCTCACGATGGGACTGCTCACAAATTCATGGGTAAATCTTATTTAAACTAAATATTCATGTTATGTTTAATCGTCGAATATATGCTATTGCTGTATCCAACTGCTACATCATTTCAAAATTTGACCAACACAATCTTAACTATTGTCATATATAAGGAAGGAATCAGTTGATTGTGCACAACCTTATTAAGTTACTGCATCACAAACACCAAATGAAACGTTTGTATGTTGTAATCACGGACTTTTAACTCTATCACGAAAATAAATTTTTCATAGCACCAAATATCACTCTACATCCAAGAAACCTCTACATGTAATTTCCTTTACGTGATAATGGCTATTATAAGAGCCTCAGTTTCTCAAACTATAGATACCTTTGTATCTCATAAACTGACTTGAAAAATCGGTGTGTTGTTTGTCTGGATTTATTCCTAAAATATAAATGAGTAATCACAAACCCTAGAAGTATTTAAAAGATTCTTGCTAACCACAATATTTTGAAATGTTTTGAGTAAACTTTAATGTGAAGACCACGCTTCTCGACCGAATACAAATCGCTGTCATCACCCTACTATTCTGTAGAATTGTTTTGTATGAATCCATAAATATGATACTGTTTGTTACCTTGTTTCATTTTTTCACATTCTCATTTTCGTTCCATCTTTTCGCTCACCAGTGTTAGACATTTTCATGTTTGCTCTGGTATAAAGATAATGAGTGTTGTTAAGTGGAAAATAGGGATTAGATTTTCAGCCACTAAGTTCCAGGTTTGAGGCTCGCTCTGCCTACTTCGGTTCGCGCAATCAAATATCCAAGTTTAAAGTGGACTATTTTTATCGTATTCATGTATGAATTAGGATAGTACTGGCTGTTAGTTGGTCTACTCAGACTTGTGACATCAAAATTATGCCGTTTAGATTGTTATCTTCCTTCATCACTTCCTCCTTTATGTATTGATTCACTTCGTTGGTGACTTAGTCACTGACATTATTCCCAGTATTTATTTCAAAGAGATAATATATCTGATCTTTTAATGATACAGTTGGCGTTGTATATGAGGCTAACAATTTTTAAGTCGTCGGAACAGCAGACTTCTTTTTATTGATTGCTTAATTTAGTTATAGCTTGTTTTGCTTCGGGTGGTTATTTAGTTTTACTTAATTTCAGATGTATATTATGTATAACTCTTAGTTATTAAATATATTTGTCATTCGTGATTAACATTTATTTTCGTGGCAGATTATATTGCCATATCACTATTGAACTAAACATAGATCTTCCTAGACGAATGCCTGTTATTTGACATTTTAAGTTAAGTTGCATTTAGGTTTCGATGTTTTTTTAGTCAAGGTTGGAAGCAACAATTTTCTGAATTATTTTGATTGTGTACTTCCAAATTGTTTTGCAGTTCAGCATTGATTCGAAATCAATACATTCAACAAAACCAGTCCGTCGTTTCACCTGTTTCCTCAAATCAACGTTATCCTTTGATTTCATCTCCAGGCATTCGTGGAGTAGTGTTGCCAAATGTTCAACCCAGTAATTTACCACCTTTGTCACACCTCTTACGTTTTCCAGTTCAGCCAACAAATATTGAGTCTAAACAGTCTTTCAATCGATTGTCGCCTATTGTACAATGTTCCAAACAACCAACAGGATTCGTTTCTTCACTTGACGAAGTACCCAAAAACAAAGAAAGCGACGTAAACTGTGGTAGTTGGATGTCGGATTATGAAGCAATTGGTGTGTTGTTGATTCAATTGCGTCCATTAATGGTATCTAATCCCTATGTTCAAGTCAGTTTCCTGTTTTATGAATGAGTTTCCAATTTACTGTATTTTTTAGGTAGTTTTGTGATTCTTAAGTAGTAGAGTTGCATGAAAACTAATATATTGAGTGGTTTTGTTGACTAAATGATTTATATCTCTTCATTTACTGCGGATTAAACACATGAAGTGTAGTTGTTAGCGAGTACTGAAAATTATTATGTGGTTGCTTATTGGATTCGTATTTGGTTTTTCTGCACAGATTACGAACTTTCACGTAAATGGAGACTCGAATAAGGTACCGAAGGCGATCCATCTTTTTAGTAATATTCACTTCTTCACTTGTTACCTCGTCAGTAGCGATGTTAAGGTTAACATTTTCATGATAGATCACTCATTTGGGGTTATTGTAGTTATGCAGTAATAAAATTGTATTTTCAATACTCTTCCCATATCAGTTTAGTGGATGTAATTACTGCAAAATTTCCTATTTTGAATCGTTTTTTGGTATTATATGAAAGTCGACGTACCATATAATTATCACTGCGACAATGCTTACTTTTTGAGATGATTGATATAAAATATGTTTAGTGAAATTCCACTTGTTTCAAACTCATTTAAAACCATCTTCATCAATCACTTATGATTTAACTACCAAGGATCGTGATACACTTAGGAGTTTTTTAGGGAATAATCCTAAAAGTTATGTATGAATATATCTCAGATTCAAATAGACAGAATTATTTCTTCATTATTCGAAAGGCTTTTTAACTCAATTTCCGACCTAATACGGATCGTATTGCATGTATATGTTTATCCCTATTGCAATCGATTTGCATAGCTTGTTTATTCATCTTTCAATCCATGTCTTTCCCAATTCTGAATTTCGTAACGTCGATCGTAAACTTCTGAAGCCTATTTATTTCCATATTAAGTTACAAAACGTATATATATATATATATATATATATATATATAACTGAGTAATACCCAGGATGTTCATTGTATTACCAGTTATTCCACCCTCGACCTAAAATTTATCACTAATCTGCCTATTATAATTCAGTTAATTCCAGTGTCATAAATGGTTAGTGAAGTGGTTGTTTTATTCAGCTAAATGTTTAGTTTTAGTTTAACATTATGGAAGGTTCTTTATCGAAGGCATTACTTCACTACTGTAGTTGTTTTAGCTACTCAGCTATGCGGAAAAATAAAAATAAACTAAATCAGAAAATTAGCTTATTTCTAGGTTCCATTTCTATCCAAGTATATATTTATTACTTTTGATGAGGCTGAGCATGTTTTTTCGTTAACATGTTTTATGATATAGCATGCGTATTGATTTATTCAAGGATTGTCAATCATTATTCTTCTTTTCAGGATTATTATTTCGCATCTCAGTGGTTGCGGCGAATGAATGCTATTCAAGCTAAACAAACTGCTAACATTCAAGTGAACACTAACACTTCACCAGCAACAGTTCAACTTCCTATACCTATACCCCTAGAAAGCTTAAGCGATTCTAATTCACTATATCACACAACCCTGAAACATAAACTTGTTATTCCTTTGAGGGCTGTGAATCGCAATTTTTCTTTAGATCATACTCCAGATGAAAACTGTGATAGCTTAGAACAAACAGTCGAAAGTTTAGATACTACTAACTCTGAGTCAAGTAATGCACTGGGTCGACCTACTCGATCCAATGTTCATAGACCCCGTGTAGTAGCAGAGTTATCTCTACTTACTGCGATTGCATCTGCTCCGGAACAAACCTCTCCGGTGAAAACGCCGAATAAAAGCCTCGTAAACGAGCAAGTAAGTTATAAATTCTAATAAAACCATACACATTGAAAATATTTAATAACTCCGATTAGATTTCATGTCATTTTTCCGATGACCAATATGTAGGCACAAGATATGTCATGCATTATGTTCGCGTTGTGAAGAAATGTGTTGGACATAGTTTCTGTGTGTGTTTGTGAATAGGTAAGATTGTGTATTGGGTTGATTTCGTGTTGATGGTTGTCGTTGTGACCAGTCAGTCAGTCAGTTACAACGTAGAACTTCGTACGTACGTACATCAGTATAAGTTGGCATTCCATACTAGCACAGAGAGGCAACTGTAAATTCCAATCCCCATAGTAGTAGAGTTAGTAGCAGTATTAGCATTAATCAAACAGAACAATGATGGGATATATCATTCAAGATATTTACCTCAGAGGAATCGGTCTAAAAAGAGAACGGTCATGAGGAATTCAGAAGATTAGGATTTGAGAGGACAAAAATAATGGATACACTTGCGCCACTGTGGACGATTTTGAGCCATCTAATTTAAGGTCTCTTACCATCGATTATTTTGATCTTACGGACCCCAACCAGGTGGATTACATTTACCAACATCACTCAATCCAGTAGTCAGTGATTTCATAGATTTGTGCCATGTTTTGATCTGGTCACCCCTATCTATCTCCAACCTACTCCTAAAAAACAAAACACCGTTCATCGAGACAGTCAGTGGTTGGGCATACGTGATGCATGTTTCAACCACCTCAAGCGATGAAGTTTATATACATCATCTATTGATCCACTATCCTCATATAATACCCGTCACCTACGCCATAGGTGACGCAGTTACCTAAAGCCTGTCGAGCCTTATGTATCCGTGATGGGTTTTCGTGAAACACCAGTCCTTCAGCACTTATGAAAAACCCGAGATACATAAAGTAGAAGCTACGCAAAACACCTTCAGTCTTTATCATTAGATAGGTGCCAACACGAGCAAATATTGTAAAAAAATATTTCAAATGTCGAGTCCCAGAACCAAATCCCCAAAAAACATCCAACGTTCCTTGAAAACAACCGAATACTAACAATTTTATGAACATTCAACGATGAAGTTTATTTGAGTAGTCGTGTTTCATTTTCTGTCTACATGCATGGTGAAGAAGTGTGTTGGACATAATTTTTGTGAGTGATTGATTGAGTGAGTGTGTGTTTGTGAATGGGTGTAATATTGTCGATTGGGTTGATTTTGTGTTGATGGTTTGTCGTTGTGATAGTGGTGTTTGAATGTTTGTTGAATGATGGTTATGGAGAGGTCTGGTGTTCCGTGTGTTATGTTTGCGTTGTTTAGGTTGTGTGTTCTCGTGGTATAGAGTGGGTGTAATAGATGTGATTACTCTCAACCAGTCCACTTGTTGCTTGTTGACATATGTGGAGTGTAATAATGAGAGGTACATTAACAATTGGACAGATTTCTCGTTGGACGATGAAGTTTATTTGAGTAGTCGTGTTTCATTTTCTGTCTACATGCATGGTGAAGAAGTGTGTTGGACATAATTTTTGTGAGTGATTGATTGAGTGAGTGTGTGTTTGTGAATGGGTGTAATATTGTCGATTGGGTTGATTTTGTGTTGATGGTTTGTCGTTGTGATAGTGGTGTTTGAATGTTTGTTGAATGATGGTTATGGAGAGGTCTGGTGTTCCGTGTGTTATGTTTGCGTTGTTTAGGTTGTGTGTTCTCGTGGTATAGAGTGGGTGTAATAGATGTGATTACTCTCAACCAGTCCACTTGTTGCTTGTTGACATATGTGGAGTGTAATAATGAGAGGTACATTAACAATTGGACAGATTTCTCGTTGGACGATGAAGTTTATTTGAGTAGTCGTGTTTCATTTTCTGTCTACATGCATGGTGAAGAAGTGTGTTGGACATAATTTTTGTGAGTGATTGATTGAGTGAGTGTGTGTTTGTGAATGGGTGTAATATTGTCGATTGGGTTGATTTTGTGTTGATGGTTTGTCGTTGTGATAGTGGTGTTTGAATGTTTGTTGAATGATGGTTATGGAGAGGTCTGGTGTTCCGTGTGTTATGTTTGCGTTGTTTAGGTTGTGTGTTCTCGTGGTATAGAGTGGGTGTAATAGATGTGATTACTCTCAACCAGTCCACTTGTTGCTTGTTGACATATGTGGAGTGTAATAATGAGAGGTACATTAACAATTGGACAGATTTCTCGTTGGACGATGAAGTTTATTTGAGTAGTCGTGTTTCATTTTCTGTCTACATGCATGGTGAAGAAGTGTGTTGGACATAATTTTTGTGAGTGATTGATTGAGTGAGTGTGTGTTTGTGAATGGGTGTAATATTGTCGATTGGGTTGATTTTGTGTTGATGGTTTGTCGTTGTGATAGTGGTGTTTGAATGTTTGTTGAATGATGGTTATGGAGAGGTCTGGTGTTCCGTGTGTTATGTTTGCGTTGTTTAGGTTGTGTGTTCTCGTGGTATAGAGTGGGTGTAATAGATGTGATTACTCTCAACCAGTCCACTTGTTGCTTGTTGACATATGTGGAGTGTAATAATGAGAGGTACATTAACAATTGGACAGATTTCTCGTTGGACGATGAAGTTTATTTGAGTAGTCGTGTTTCATTTTCTGTCTACATGCATGGTGAAGAAGTGTGTTGGACATAATTTTTGTGAGTGATTGATTGAGTGAGTGTGTGTTTGTGAATGGGTGTAATATTGTCGATTGGGTTGATTTTGTGTTGATGGTTTGTCGTTGTGATAGTGGTGTTTGAATGTTTGTTGAATGATGGTTATGGAGAGGTCTGGTGTTCCGTGTGTTATGTTTGCGTTGTTTAGGTTGTGTGTTCTCGTGGTATAGAGTGGGTGTAATAGATGTGATTACTCTCAACCAGTCCACTTGTTGCTTGTTGACATATGTGGAGTGTAATAATGAGAGGTACATTAACAATTGGACAGATTTCTCGTTGGACGATGAAGTTTATTTGAGTAGTCGTGTTTCATTTTCTGTCTACATGCATGGTGAAGAAGTGTGTTGGACATAATTTTTGTGAGTGATTGATTGAGTGAGTGTGTGTTTGTGAATGGGTGTAATATTGTCGATTGGGTTGATTTTGTGTTGATGGTTTGTCGTTGTGATAGTGGTGTTTGAATGTTTGTTGAATGATGGTTATGGAGAGGTCTGGTGTTCCGTGTGTTATGTTTGCGTTGTTTAGGTTGTGTGTTCTCGTGGTATAGAGTGGGTGTAATAGATGTGATTACTCTCAACCAGTCCACTTGTTGCTTGTTGACATATGTGGAGTGTAATAATGAGAGGTACATTAACAATTGGACAGATTTCTCGTTGGACGATGAAGTTTATTTGAGTAGTCGTGTTTCATTTTCTGTCTACATGCATGGTGAAGAAGTGTGTTGGACATAATTTTTGTGAGTGATTGATTGAGTGAGTGTGTGTTTGTGAATGGGTGTAATATTGTCGATTGGGTTGATTTTGTGTTGATGGTTTGTCGTTGTGATAGTGGTGTTTGAATGTTTGTTGAATGATGGTTATGGAGAGGTCTGGTGTTCCGTGTGTTATGTTTGCGTTGTTTAGGTTGTGTGTTCTCGTGGTATAGAGTGGGTGTAATAGATGTGATTACTCTCAACCAGTCCACTTGTTGCTTATTGACATATTTGGGGTGTAATTATGTGGGTTACAATGACTTTGGAACGTCTTGTTTTTCGTTTGTTTGTAATATCGCTTCCTTTCTTATTTCTTTTTTATTTTAAGGGTAATATTCGCCCTCCCGAATTTTCGTTCCCGTTTTCGGGTGCTACCTAGCTATTTTTGTTAGTTACCTATTCACGGTAATTTGTTTTTGTTGTATTTTTTCGTCGTAGGTGAATAATTCTGTGGATGATCCTTTTTCTTCTGGTTCCCAGTCAACCTCTGTTAGGTGGTATCGTGCGCGGCTTTTGCTCTTATCTCAGATTGAACGTGTAAGTTTCGTCTGTTATTATTTTCGTTACTTTTTGTGCTGTTTTGTTTAGTTTTAAACCTTTTAGTTCTCGTAATGGAAAATATAAGTTTTTCCAATTTTCTGTTTATCTAATTTAGTCCTTTTTTTGTGGATTTTCGTGTTGATCCCCGTCAATCGTTTCATTTTAACGATGTGTTTAATAAGATAACTTTTTTCATATCGGTTCCTCTTGTTGTTTATTTCGATTCTTATGCATTGCTCATAACATCCAACGTAACATATGTCCACTACCTTTTTACCTCATCATGGGATCATGAAGAACTGACTGATTTTATTCATATTTTACTTTATGTCATACCTCACGCTCACTCTATAAATCAACTATCTTCATCTTTTTAACTTATTTTTCCATAGTCCTGCTGAACATTTTGTTGATACAGATATGGTTCTGTGTAGTGTGGTCCGGTGAAATCCATGTAGCTTTTTGTATGCCTTTGTGCGGGAATATTGTGCCACCGATTGAATGACGTTCATTTTAATGTCCTCTTTCTTTGTTTTGAAGGATGCTTTAATGATCCTGGGTCCATGAGATTCCCATCCTATCAGTGCCTTTTGTGCATGTTTGGACAGCATCAGTGCAACTCCTTGTGTATGTGAAGCGTTTTCCTCTTCATGACCAGAGTATAACAGCAGTTCCCCAGAAGCTAGTCTTAGTTGTCCTACCTGTGTCCAATGCTTTTCACTGATGCCGAGCATCTCGAGATTGTATCTTTCCATTTCTGCCGCAACTTGAAATAGTCTTCCAGTCTCCCACAATGTACGAACGTTCCATGTACCTAAAAGTATGGTTGCTCTGGTTGTCAGAGTAGGCATCGGCCTTTTGACTTCCGAGGGAATTCAGCTTTCATCACGCGATTTCATATTTGTTCTTCCAACTCCCACGGCAGAGTTAAAATGGTTTGAATTAGTTTTTCTGGTTGGCGTTTTTTTGGCAAGTTATTTTTTTGTTGAATTGGGTCGCCAACCCCATGTCCAACCCTCCTTCTTTATCTGGGCTTGGGACCGGCAGTAGCCCTGAAGTATCTACAGACGGAGTTATTTATATATATGTTACATCTGGTGTTTACTTCTTTGCGCGTTACACCATGAGTTGTAAGGACTCTGCAGAGACCCAGTGCTTACAAGCGGGACATGTCGCCATGGTGAAAGTGAATTTACTCACCATTTTCGTGGTGTCTTGCAAAGGCGACTAGTAATTATCTGTACTTTTTTGGTGGGTTAATAGCTAACTTTGAGTGCAGCTATTTTTCATATTTGTTTGCAAGATAAGCTGTAAGTGGTTCGCCTACACTTATCTAGTATGAACGTCATAACTAGGGCGTAACAAAATGTAAAGGACATTTTCTAAGGTTTTATTTGTTGATAATAGTTGCATATTTATTAAGTAACTAGATTGTCTAATGGTATATATTACTTTCATCATAAGCTTTTTTATCAATCCATTAATTATTATCATATTATTTGACCGTCCCTATTTTGTTGACAGTTTATTATTTGCAATTTTTCCTACTCACAGCCACTTTTGGTTCTTTTTCATATAGTTTTTAATCTCTGTTTGTTGATGTGATTTAGTCTTGTTTATTCTGCATGTAACGGGATTTGGGAAATATAGTAATAATCTTGATTTTGAACTGGTGGTCGTCGATCTTTGTTCTTTCTGTTCGTTTGTGGCATTATAGTATGGCGTAGCAAGTCTCGTCTTTGGTTGTTCAAAAGGTCGCCTGCGTATTGCTTTGTGTAAAAATCTAATAAATTTGTCGGCTAGTGAAACGTAAGATTGTTTTCCGGTCAAAATCAGTTTGTCAGTCACATGCAACGTAAAATCTGAAACGTATTTGTGTTCAAGTTCCCATCACATTAGCTGCGCAAAGATGTGGAAGTCTGTTACTGTCCTGCACCCAATGAATCTATGGTGAACACCCAAGCAACCGTCATCTGTGCCTAGACATCCAATTTTTTCATTCCAGTGTAAGGTTAGCACTACACAATATGTACCGAACGCACTATCTTGAGGTAATTTAAATGACGGTTTCGGATATACAGCAAGCGTTGATTTCAAGACTTAACAAAGACATATTCAAACGTACTTTCGTCATAGTTGTAACAAAGATCGTGATAACTGTATTTCCACAAATATAAAGTATTTTAGTGACCCACGATCTGACTGCAGTATAGACCAATGGTCGAGTGTACGATGTTGCGAAACTTTCCTTCGATTTTCGTATAATATACCTAGGTGAACCCATTCATGCGACGGCGGTAATAAGAAGCCAAATACGTTTTTGCGGATGAATTTATTTCATGCAATCGTTCACGCTCACAAATAAGAGAGTATGAAATTTATAGGCAAAGCGAAACAAAGTGAAAAAAGTGAGTATGACCACTCAATGCGATAAGACATAACTAAGTATTTACAGTCAAACCCAATAGGCTAGACGTGACAAGCGAAGTAATTAATGCATATACTTACTCAAGCAATAGCAACCAATATATTAGCGAATCCTTAACAAGGTCAATGGATGTGTGAATAACTCGGGATGAATGGATTAATTAATTTGTCCGAAGGCTGGGACTAAAGTCCTGTAAACAGAATACAGTATGTTAACTGTTATCTGAATTTATTAGGAAAACATTCTGGGCAAGGCCTCAAGTGATAATATAGTTTTTTCCATTCTTGTCAATGAATGGTAGTTCTGATGTATAGGGAGGCCGCGCCACAACAATTTCCCGATTCATATTTCTTGACTAATCTTTGTTGTCATTTGATTGATTGTTTTCTCTTTCACGTAGTCTACATTTGTGGTTGTATCGATAAAATTATTCCGTCATAATTTTCAGATTTTTTAAATAACAAGCTTTTTCCCAAGTATCCATACTTTAATCTTTCATCAATCAAGGATTACTGTTGACCCATTATGTACAAGTCATCCGTACAAGTTAGCATGAATCCTATTCGTAAAAAAATATTTTATAGTCATTTATAAATCATAATTATGACAGCTATCACTAATCAGAACAAAACTGTATGGAAGCTTTGAATTATTTTAATAGTAAAATTTATGCAAACAATATTATTACAGACATATGCTGTTTTTGTGAACATACTTATTTTCTAATGGTTGATGATTTTATCTTTCCATTCATTATTTCTTCTCATTCTCTTATGTCTTTTTAGATGTTTTCAATATTATTGATCTTAGATGAAGTTTCTTTATCTCTCAAAAAAGTTGTTGTTCAAAACGACGCGTAAGTATATCCTGTACTTTTTTTAGATCTGTAATTTTTTAAGACCTTTGGCTCTGATCTGTTTTCTTACTTGAGAGAGCTGTTACGGTGTTGCACCAAAATTTCCGTCTACAATTTAAAATGTAAAAACTTGTGTGAATGAAGCACTTGAAAAAGTAATCACTTTAGGTGATCATTTATCATATTAACACTTATTTATACGATGGTTTCGGTTCCAGAAAAAGACAATCTTGCGTTATCTTACTGAATAATGCCTAGTACGAGATCTCTCAAAATAGTAAAATTATTGGAGTCTTTTAATCCAGTGTTTCAGTTTGTATTTATTCATCAAAAAATTGTTTATATGTGATGCCTTGGAAGCGTATAATCTTATTACAGTATTACTAATACAGGAATTCTACATTAGTTGCAAGTAAACTTATTTTTCTAAATATTTCTAAAAGCTATTAGAAGACTTAACATATCCACCTCAGAAAATATTCCACTAGTAGATGTCGCCATTAAATTAGATAAATCTGGATCTGCTTTCAGGAAAAACCAGAGAATTTTGTCGATTTTATAGCTTATGGGAAAAAAGTTTCATATTGGAGACTGATGTTTCACAATTCCATCGACCAGAACAGTTACCTTGTGTGTATAAGTATAGTTTTGTGTTTTGTGAAGCGGCATAAAACTTAAGTAGTCTTTTTTCATCGTATCTTGTGACTTTGATCAATGTTATGCTTAGCTTTTCGGTACGTCGACAAATATACTTAAGTTGAGAGCTTATTCGGAGTTTTCTTACAAATACAAACTGTATTTATGGTGTATATTATATGCTCAGATTTAATTATTTTTCTTCTCTTTATTTATAGACGTGCTCGACTATTAGATTATCAACAAGAATTAATTAACCAACTAATTAGTGAACTACTCCGTTCACCATTATCGTCATCATCTACGACAAATGAAACATCCAAAAACAAAATCTTCGAATCAATTGTTGAGAATGGCCATTTTTCATTGCCCGACCATCTTTTCTCTATTCGTAAAGGAATGCGTCTATGGTGTCTGGCATTACATTATCTGCCAACAGTGAGTTGTTACGTAATCGAAAAAAAAGCGAAAAGTTTTACATCATCTATTTGATTCTCTCATAGAACTCCAAAATTTGCACTATTTCAAAAAATCTATTTCGATAGAAATGATGGAATAGCTGCCACTTTAGGCAATAAAAATGAAATCAATTGACTCAATGATTAAGATATTCAATGTCCACCCGCTCTTTAGTATGTTCGAGTCTTGCTTCATCTGTTCCAGTTTGAGCCGTCTCACAAAGTATTGTAAAAACCTGAATACGAAAATCTGTACATAACAATTGACTTATTGTTTAAAAATGTGATGATTTTGTAGGTAGATGTATGGTTGTTTGAAATAACTGTTATGCCGGAATGATCACAATCAATGTATACAAATAGATAACAACTATCTAATCAGAAGTAATATAGTCTAGTATTGAATTGTTTTAGGAACTATTCTAGAGTATGCCAATGAATTCATTGCATGTTTCGAAACTAAATTACTGTATCGGCTGTAATTCACCTCCCTTCAATCAAACCCGAATACACTCTCTGTTGACTATTTGATCACATACATGTTTTACTAAAAAAAAATTGCAAGATATAATTACTTTTTTTTCTTTTTCAAACTTATAAAAACACTTTTTTTTTAAATATAGAAAATTCAAACCAATTATTTGTCAACATTTATGCGTGATTTCATTCGACTTCGTCAACTTTGGCCAACTACAATGAATGAAGTAAGTTTTATGTTGTGATCTCTGCCCTCTTCTACCCTTTTATGGCATTTCATCAGTACTTCATTTACACCTTTTTTTTGTTCCCAAACAGTTACTTTTTTACCATTTCGGAATGGCATTATCTTTAAATTGATTTCAATAGATATTTATATGTATTTAAAATACGTATCATTTTACGTTTTATAAAGTAGTATAGAATAGTGAGAAAACAACGTAGAGCGTATCATTCATTCTATTATACCCCAATGTAATTCGTTGTAGGCAACAGGCAAAATATTTTAATTTGTCAACCAGTATCGCATTACTAATTATATTATTAAAAAGAAAACTTATTTAACCCTTTTAATATTAATATTCATCGATATAGACTTGGCTGCAGAGTTAAACATAAGGACGGGTCGATTATGATCGAGAAGTAATTTCATTTTTGAATTTGTCCACAACATTCGAAAATCACCGCCATCTTTTTCTAATATATCACAGAAAAACAAGTGATATGTTTAAATTTTTGCACGGTGCTATGCTGTTTAAAAATGACATTGGAAATTTGGTTTTTGCCATCAGAAGTTAAAAAAAAATAGTGTTATTTATATTAGATGCCCAGTTCAAATTTATTTACACCAACGCAACCGTGTTCACTCTTTATCTTCCCTTAAATTCTAAGATTCTAAAATTCTTCATAATCTTATTTTATTTCACGAATTTAAATTTTCTTGAATCATATCTTTGATTCCTAAACTTTTATACCTATTACCATGGTCATTATTTCCACTAAAAAGCAGGACTTTGATGTGAAACGAGTCTTAGTCGTTGATATCATATCATAACTCCATTTATTTCATATTTCTCGAACTAATCATTAGTTGTATTTATGGTTTGTCTTGGCAAATCGTTAATTTGCTTTTTACAAATTATGTACATATTTTGCAATTTTACACGATTTTTCCCTAAATTGTCATTTTTCATAACGTCTTCCATACTTTTAATCTATCTTATGAAAGGTTACTTTACAATTGCCACGAACGATCTAGACGTTCATGAGACTTTGACATGGCCATTTAGTTCTTTGTGAATCGGAGCTGGACAAAATTCTCAATCTGGTTATTTAGTTGTCCTTGTTTACTGATTTTCTATTATGATCGGTGAGAATTATGTTGAAAGTCTTGGCTTTGTTGAACTTCTTAATACAGAACTTCATAGTTGAAGGTTGTCAGTTTGTTACTTCAATCGGATTAAATTTTTTTTTAATGCTGGATTTGAGATATGTTTTGTGATGTTGGAAACCAAATTTTGATGTTTAGTTGCATTCTCAATAATAATACGTCATTTTCATTCATCTAGACATTATCAACGTAAGAAATGTGTATGTTTTTATGCTTGATTTACAATTGATGAAAGCCTTTTTTTCACAGATTAACAATCCGAAGTTTGTTTTAATTATCTCATGACTCTACAAAATTTTGTTGTTTCTGATACACCGTTGATTGTTTTCATAGTTGAAACTGATTTTTACATTAGCCGAACAAGTATGAATTCAATTTGTTTTTCATTGTAGTACTTTCTATTTAATCAGCATACAAGTTTTCAATTCATCCTTTTTTTTCAAGATTTCTATGATTCATTTTAATTATCGTTTTAAAAAAAGCAATTAGCATGATATTGATCTGAAGCTTAAATGACCTAGTGTTTACATTAAACCAATTCAAAATAGGCCACTGAATAGAAGATCATTTCAATTGCCTATTATAATTCTCAATATCTATCAATGTAATCTGATTCTCGTGTTTTCCGTTTTGTTGAGGACGTTACAATACTTCGAGTCATACATACGTACATACACACACACACTGTGTGTTCATGCCCAAATACTCAGTTAAGGATAAAAAAAAGTATACTGTGTTATTAGTCAAAGTTTTATTCTAGATTGGAAATCACTTGGAATGTATTCGTGTAGATGGGTGGGGAGTGGAGTAGCTTCTTTGAAACTCAAGTAATTTTAGTTACTATTGTTGCCAGAAAGTCTTAGAAAGTAATATTCTTATTGTTATCCGATAAGTAATCCCATTATCACTGGGGTATTTCATAGATAATCAAAAGTGGTTTTAACATTTGTTATATGTTTGGTTTCTTTAGGGATATTATCAGTTCACTTGATCCACTCAAAAATCTTTACTTCTATACGTTTCCTCATTTCCAATGATTCTTTTAATGTTTACATTATTTTCTATCAAGATGCAATAAATGACTATCATTTGTTAATTCATTCATTGTTTTTTCTCTTCACAATGTATTAAAATTTAATTTTATTATTTATAATGTATATATATATATAGGCTGCTGTTATCTTCTATCCTTATTTACGTGAAATTATCTATCAATTGAAATCGATCAATGATTTTTTGACACTGTGCTTTCCTGATGCTTTAAAAATGAATATTCATTCAAAGTCAACTATTTCAATAACTGACAATTTGAAATCACTCTTGTCATGTAAAGTAAGTGAAAATTATTCATTATAATCTTATAATAAATAAATATCATATTGACACTTCTGTTTATTGTTTAAAAGATTTTTCTCCCCATTTCTGCTCTTTGTTTTAACTTCTTTCTATATCATATTATTCAATTATTTGAAAAGACAACTGTTTTTGGAGAATGGTGGTGATTATAGATCCGGCCAATTACATCATCGTAGGCTACTGCAAATAACTGTCTTGTGTTTCTCCATAACTATGCACTAGTCCAGTTTCTTCAAGACAATACTTTTTTTCCATAGTCAGAGCGATTTGGAAGTGAAAATTGCGCGTAATTCAAAGTAAAATGTACATGAAATTTAAATTAGTTTGATAAGTTAAAGTAAAATTAGAAGAAAAAATTAATTCTATTCAATGTTGTTTGCTGAGTTTGGCTTCACATGTCCTATTGTATCTTCTTTATAATTTCAGTTGGTCACTTGTGTCGACATGTCCAGCTAGATATATCAAAATATAAAAGAATACTTTATAGACAAAGCTGATTCCACTGTGTCTATTTGTTGATTACTTTTTTAGTGTATGGAAAATACACTGTTCATCTTCGGACTTACATATCTATCTATGTATCTATTGAACTTTCAAGTTCACATAATCAAGTGTTGTTATCCTATTGGACCAACAATAAATCCAATGTTTAATCTACTGTATTGATCTGAGTGTCCATAGTTGAATCAGCCAAAACCCTGTTTGTTTGTTTCTTCTCATTGTAACATTCTTATTTTCTGCATTTTTGCACAGCTGCATAACACTTTTAAATGAAAAGCATACTACGGTAAATTTACATGAGACCATAATTAATTATGAGATCGGTAGTAGTAGTAGTGAAGGAGAACACAGGTTAGGGCAACCGAATTGCAGTTATCGAAAATTAACAGAGTTAATTGATAAAATAGGAAAACCATATCGTAAACCGTTAATTTGCAAAACATCAATCCATTGTCTGATATTTCACTGTTCATGCGTTTCATACAAATTCCATTGTGTTCCCACTCTTCCTTTCTTGATCTTCCCCCATCTTCTACTGCCATACATTACGTTTTCACTCATATACTACTTATAAGTAGCGCGCACCACAGTAGTAATCAATCGATCGAAGTATTGTCTCTACTCTGTGACTGTTCATTATTTCCCTTTTTTCTTCGTTCTTATCATTATTGACTGAAACACACTGTAATGTCAACTGTATTCTTTCTCTTTATTTTAGCTTGGTTTATCTTTGATATTTTGCTTGCTTGACGCATGTGCTCGTGCTTCCAATCCGACTGATCCATCATATTTGTAAGTTTGCTTATGAATGTGAATTAAAATTGATTAATATTACTACTACTACTACTACTACTACTACTACTACTACTACTACTACTCTTACTATTGTAAGAATTTTGTACGTGATATTATTTCACACTGGAAGTCACATCATTTTGTCAAGAGTGATAAATCAGTTTTTCTATATTGGACATTTTGAACGCTTTCATATATATATATCATTGCTCTCTGTTGTTTATTTCTGTTTTTTTTTATCAAGTATTCAATTTGGAGCGTATTTTATTTATGCCAATTCATTTATCGATCGTACTTGCATCAACAATGACACGAATGAATGCGATTATGTTATGGAATCTTTCCCACATTTAGCTTCCATACTATTATTGTATATTAAGCCATCGAAATATGATCTTTTAACTGAAGATGATTTGAATATATTTTGTAATTTAGCAGCTAAAGCCATGCAAATATCAAATAATGATGTTACTAAAAATACTACTGCTAATACTAATAATAGTAATATGAATGTGAATCAGCAATTTCCATCGAACATCAATGATTCATCTGCTTCTGTTCATTTCTCCGTCTCATCGCTGTCATCATCAAATTCGACACAGTGCTATACCACAGCGAATAATGCATACTATCCTACCTTAAATGTTCATAATCGTGCTCCTGAACAGCATCATCTTTCTGTGGACAATCCCCTACAAACAGCTAATTCACAGAATTCTGAAAATGTCTTATCAAATACTGCGAAAACTGACGATGAATTATCTGTGTCAGTAGTCGTTGGTTGATTTCAAATAAAGAACCATAGAAATTAGTAAAGAGAGGAAATAAGAAAAAGAATTCAAACCTTTTTTGTTTTCAAGGAAGTGAGTTACTTTCCTCTTATATGTTATTCATAGTTTTTTCTTCTCTTCATATGTTTAGTTTTGTTTGATTTCAATGTTGATCATTCCCAAACTTTACTAGCAAATCTATCATTCTACAGAAAATCCTATTCTGCCATCATTTACTATACAACTGTTCACTATTAGACTGGGGAATATATTGTTAATCATACGTTTTATAAATTTTCTCTTCTTTGCAATCTGCTGATCAATGTATATACTGTGTCTCTGATGCACACATTCAGGATCTAAGTGTGTTGATCTCACATAATCTGATACTAAGTACCGGCATAATTTACCTTTCATATATATTTACTTTAACCCCACGTGGCATCGTTGGTGTAGGTATAACATCGAATTCAAAAGCGGAACAGTAAACAAACGTCTACCCAGTAGTTGTGAATAGTGGTACACAGGTATGACAAAGGCGTTTAAAAACCCGGCGGTGATAGGCAAAAGTAGCTATACAAAGAAACACCCCAACATTGTGCAGGCTTTCTGTCTGAACACTACTGATTTCATGATAGAGTACAGCCAACTGTCTTTGGAATTTATATTTTCTAGGAGTGATCTGCTTTCCTGATTTTTATTTAAATTTATCATATAGATTCATTTAGAGTAAATTGTCATCATGTAACTTATCAGGATAAGATCCTCTGTTTGGAGATTCTCTTGTTGATTTGAATTACTTAAATGATGTGGTTCTGTCTAGTGTAGACGCTGAAAAAAATTCAGTCTTCTGATCATCAACAATAATACTAAGAGCTTTGGAATTCGTTTCTCTCCATCCTAAACAAAATGTTACTTTAGGAATGATTTGTGTCAACGCCTGAATTAAAAGGATAGGAGGTGAAGTATTTGAGTGAGTCGATCACTTCATTTGTCTTGGAATTCTCATCAACCCTAATGGGTTGGTTTCTGAAAAAATGTTGTTACGACTCCGGTCCATAAATACGCTGACTGTCCAACGATACAGACCATATGGTTGGAGTCCTTATGGTTGTGGAGCTTTCGTTGCTCTTCTGAAGAGCATCATTAGTACGAACATCCGATACTTCAGTTCTACCGAAAGTTTATGTTGATGAAGTTGTTCATAAGAACAACGAAAGCCCCACAACCAAACCATGCAGCTCAGAGAACGAAACTTACTGTAACTAAAAAGCTGTTAAATATCCAAAACTAATTTACCCATCACATGTTGATACTCATCTGCGATGCAATACTGTTAATAAATTACCTATCTGATATTCTCCACTTTTCAATAGTTTTGGTTTTCCAGTAAAAATAATATCCACATATTACAATTCCCTAATTTTTAAAATTTATTTTCACATATCCATTTTCAATATTCTTGGCTCTTTTTCACATAAAATAATTATTATATGATAATGTGTTAAAATTTTAATGTCGTGTTACATTCCCTTTCAAGTTTTCGCAGATTGTGTATTAGGCCATTGAAAACAATTGAGAATGGATCAAGTGTTGTAAACGCTTCTATTTTGAAATTTTTTATAAATTTACTCTTCTGTAAGAAAATCACATAGACTGAAAGAATGGAACCAACTTTATTGATTATATTTAACTAAAAATTATAATTGTAGAATCGTTTTCGTCATGTAACCACCACCTTGTGAACACAATGTTACCGATAATCATTTGTTTGATGATGATTGTTTATGCTATTTACCGTTAGAATGAATTGTTTTTTTTGCCTTATAAAAGTATTATATATCAATACAATATTCTATGAGTGCATTCATCTGTTCGAATCAAATTCATTATACATGTGTTTATATCTCTGCTTGTATCATTGAAAATTTGGTTTTATCATTCGGTGAAATTAAAAAACTTTTACTAAAATCAATCATGTAATAGATAGAGATCATTCTTGGAATCTTGTTTGCTTTTTTTTGGTATTTCAAATTTTTTTTTTGCGTTTATTCATACATACTAAACTAAATTGAAATAACAGGTGTGTATAATTTATTTTCTACTATTCAATTTAATGTATGAAACTTTTATACTTTCAGCATTCTTTTTTTTTAATCTTTCCTACACATTCTCAACTCTTCTATTCTATTCTATGAGTCTCCTTTTTCTTTTTTTTTTTAACACTTTTTCTGTTTCGCTGATGTCATCGGTAAAGTTTGAATAATTTTTATTAATGTTGGACACTGACATCCGCACTATTTATTTTGTTTTTTTCCCCTAAATAATTGTCTATGAACGTTTTGAATAAAAACAAATGAAGATCATTTTTATCATGTGTTTGTTTATCAGCTCGGTTACGCATGCACCTAAACATATACTGGAATTATAACGAGTTTACCTAAGTCGGGAAACGACAGCGAAGATTCGGCGACATGACTGGCTACTCTAATCCGATTGTCCCAACCCCCCATTGAGTAAAAGAAGAAGATTTGATATGAAGTAGAACGTGTATTCTACAAGCATCCAGAAAGTACGAGGTTTGAGTCCAGTTAGGTCGAATAGGAAACAACATTGAAGTTTGTAACATGACATTTAGGACGACCAATAGGAATTGACTAATAGAACTAGACTTACAAATTATTCTCTTAGGAGATTGGATGAATATCCTAACAAATTCAAATTGTATTCGAGATGAGAGAGTTAAGGGGATAGGATTTTATTGTTTAATCGTTTTTGTTTGTATACTTAAACCGAAAGCAAAATTTACATAGGATTGAAGCTAGTTACAAATTCCCGAGTTTCTGTCAAGCATGATATTCTTGTTTTAGTTCAAGGTTTGACATGCTTATTTAGACGAACAGTTGAATTATGTTGTGAATAAAAAATCTGTTTCAAGTAAAAGTATAATATAGTGATGGGTTTAAGTAAGATAACGCCTCATATATTTACCGCGAAATTTAATGCATTGCGATAGATAACTTGTATAGTATTCGTAACGAAATAAAAATGATAGTATATGGTCCTTAAAATGTTTGAAATTAATAGAAATTTCCATTCTGAAACCGAAAGTTTAATTTCCAAACACAGCTGCTCTCAGAACAAATCATATATTCAAGTATTCTTTTTGATTTAGCGCGTTTTTAGGAGTGAAGCTAGATAGTATCAACTCTAAATCTCAACTATGAGTGTTTTGCGTTTGTATACAGCATTAAGAGAGAGCGTTGTAGGATTTAATTTGTCCTACAGATGTAATTCTAAAACTTAAACGCAAATGCCGCCGATGACAGAATCCAGAGTGAAACTATAGTTAACAGAAGACAATTTGGTTTTAAACTTTATCTGTTTCTAAACAAAAGAAAACGATTAATTTAGTACAATAAATAAGGAAATTACAATTATCAAGCAAGATGAGCAAACGTACCGGACAGTATAGCGTGTCTTTAGAAAATGAATAAAAAACATGTGTCACAGCAATATAAATAGATAGCAACATCCTTCAATTGATAGACCATTCACATCAAAGAAAGTTTACAGACAGGTCAGACCATATATAGCATGGTGAGCGCTTAACCAATCTGATTGGTTAGTTGTTTCCATAACTACAAGTAGTTATGGAGATAACTAACACTCCCCCCGAAGCGGTCACCACGTCCAGACCTCGTTATCGCGGCGTTCAAGTAGTCAGCTTCCTCTAGTAGGCATAGGTTCCGTATATCTCGGGTGATTTCTTCGGTTGCTGTCTTTAATAACACCGTTCTGACTTGTCCGTCCGGACCATAGTTGACCTCTCTGACTATAGCTTTAGGCCACAGATTTCTCGGTGTGCCGGTGTTGTTTACTAGTACCAAGTCTCCCGGTTGTAGATTTTTTCTCACGTCCAACCACTTGGATCTCGCTTGAAGGGTTGGTAGGTATTCCCGTAGCCATCTACTCCAGAATAGATCGGCCAGTTTTTGAGCTTCCTTCCATTTTTTGTTATATAAGCATGTTTTAGTCATATGCGTTTCTTCAAATGTTACACCTCTGTTAACTAACAACAACTTATTCGGCGTGAGCACATCTAGATTATCACATTCATTGACTAACTTCACTAGTGGTCGATCGTTCAGTATTCTCTCAGTTTCTATTAGAAAGGTTTCCAAAGACTCGTCTGTCGTTACCTTCTGAAACAGCAGTGATCGTAGAATCCTTCTTATTGACCTTATAATACGCTCCCATATACCACCCCGATGACTAGCTCTCGGAGGATTAAAATGCCATTCGCAACCTCTTTCCAGAAGGGTATTTGTTATCTTATTCTGGTCCCAGTTACACACGATCTGCCTGAGACTAGAGTCGGCTCCTCTGAAGTTCGAACCATTATCGCTAAATACATGTTTTGGATGACCTCGTCTAGCAACGAATCTTGAAAGAGCGCATAAAAATGAGTCGGTATCCAAGGTGTGGGCCATTTCGATGTGAACTGCTCTTATAGATAAGCAAGTAAACAAACAGCCGTATCGCTTTTCAGCTACTCTCCTCCTCTTAACGTAAAATGGCCCGAAATAGTCTACACCAACAGAATTGAATGGTGGCACGTAAGCTTCCATACGACACTCGGGTAGTGGAGCCATGATCTGGGCGCACGGTAAACTGTTAAGTCTCTTGCATAGGAAGCACCGTTTCAGGACTCTTCGGATGACAGTTTGAGCTTTAATGATCCAGAACTCTTCGCGAAGACTGTTCATGGTATGAGTAATACCTGAATGCGCGTTCTGTAGATGGAAGTGCATTACGATTAGGTCGGTAACAAAGTGCTTATTAGGAAGTATGAGTGGATGTTTGCTTTCGAAAGGTAAGCACGATAGCTGAAGTCGTCCTCCTACTCTAATCATGTTATCTACTACGAAGGGATTAAGATTTTTTATCGGACTTCTGCGCGTAATGTTACCTCTCATTCTTTTACCAGCAGATATTAACTGGGGTATCATTTCTTTATTCGAATCAAATCCTTGAGATTTATATTTATTGCTGCTCTCTTTATCATGCTGTATTTGCTTTAGTGCTTCCATCTCCATAGGGAATGAAACCATTTGAACCAATTTGATTATATCTTGTTTCGCGCTATCGATTTCCTCCAGCATCAACCTACCATAAGCTAATGGTCTTCTTTCTAACTTCATCCTCATATTACGAGCGAACCGTTTGCATAGAGCGAATATTCTCATCATTCTGAACCATGTCTTACAATCACTAAATCGATTCAAAAATTGGTCTGAGCAACTCTTTGCTGACGTCTCACCTAGTTCTTCTATCGATAAGTGAGCTAAAATACGTTTCTCTTCTTCGGGTGGAGTCGGCCAATTACTTTCGTCTTGCCATAAAAATTTCGGTCCACGGAACCACTCATTTAGTTTGATGCTATCGTCTGACGACAAACCACGTGAAGCATAATCCGCAGGGTTATGTTTACCTTTAACGTATCTCCATTGTTTTACTGTAGAAAGTTCATGAATCGTTGCTAACCTGGTGTTCACGAATCTCTCAAATCTTTTGGTTGTATTTCTTATGTAATGATATACAATTAATGAATCCGTCCAATAAGTGACAGAGGAGATAGGGATACGCAGTTGTTGTTCCACATGTTTTCCAATTTTAGCACACAATACGGCCGCCGTTAATTCCATTCTGGGCATAGTGACAAGTCTTAGAGGTGCGACCCTAGATTTAGCCAGCAGAAACGAGCAGTGAGACTGGCCTGAAGCGCCTTCATATCGAATATACGTAACAACACCATACGCAAGCTCTGAAGCATCGGCAAAACAATGGATTTGAATGGATAATGGTTCAAACTCTGGTTTTAGACATCTTGGTATTCTTAAGTGACCCAGCTCCTTTATATGTCTACGCCAAACATTCCACTTCGCTTGACAATCTATGGGTAGCTCTGCGTCCCAGTCTAACTTCTGCCGACAAGTGTCTTGAAGGATTATTTTAGCTGGTAGTATTGCGGGGGCTACGAACCCAATGGGATCAAATATAGATGCTACGTACGACAAAATATTTCTTCTGGTTAGGTTTCCATGAAACTCGTGAACTTCGAAACATAATTCATCTGTTCTAGTGTTCCACTCTAACCCCAGCGTTCGTTTACTCATCTCATTTGATTCGCAGACGGTAATGCTTCCTTCAGTACGATCATTCTCCGGAATGAACTCCAGCACTTCAAGGTTGTTGCTCGTCCATTTAGTCAAATTAAATCCTCCCAGACTTAAGAGTCTTCTGAAATACGAATAAGTCAGTTTGGCTTCTTCTATGGTATCCACGCTTATCAATAAATCGTCCACATAGAACTGTTCCTTAGCTGCTTGCGTAACAACTTGAGGAAATTTATCTTGGTTATCGGAAATCGTTTTTTGTAGGGCAAACGTGGCGCAACATGGTGATGAGGTTGCTCCGAACAGATGGACTTTCATTCTATAGACCTCTGGCTCTTTTTCCAAATTTCCACCTGGCCACCACAAATACCTAAGAGCGTCTCGGTCGTGCGTCGGGACCATTACTTGATGGAACATGGCTTCAATGTCTGCCGTAAGGCCGATTGGTCGTAGCCGAAACCTGATGAAGACGTCTACTAAGTTATTAACTAGATCAGGCCCAGAATAAAGATTTTTATTTAGAGACGTCCCAGCATACTGAGCCGCGCAATCGAACACTATTCTTAACTTGTTGGGTTTCTTGGGATGAAAGACAGGGTGATGAGGAAGATACCATATTCGTCCATTAGAATCTTTATCATCTACCTTCTCGGCGTAATCCTTTTCTATATATCGTGTCATAGTATTCACATAGTCTTGAAACAGCCTCGCATCCCTGACAAGTCTACCTCTTAAACAGCTGAGTCTACGCTCTGCTAATATTTTATTATTAGGCAGCTTATGTTCATGCCTCCACGGCAGAGCTATTTGGTAGTGTCCATTTATCCTTTGAACTGAGCTTGATATAGCTTTAAATGCTATACGATCTTCAACAGACATCGATGGGGTAAGACTAAATGGGTCTTTGAATTCGGTTGAATACAACTGCTCAAACTTATCTTCTAGTTCGTCCTTAGCTGAGAGGTGATTAAGTGCATGATGGTTATCACTGAATTCCTTGTAAGGACCGAACAACGTCCAACCCAATAAGGTCCTCACGGCAGACGGCTCATCTATCTTTCCAGTTCTCATCTCCTTCGTCTCGTGTACTCTCGGTACATTGCACCCGATCAACAGTTTAACATCCTCATCTTCTACTCTTGGGAAACTTACGTCCTTTAAATAGGACCAGGATGCCATTTGACGCG